GTAAGTTACGTATTGCTTGCATATATTATCAATATGTTAACAAAATTTTAAAATGATTAATTGTAATATAAACAATGCAAAAATATTAAAAAGCACAACTTTCTTGATATTTACTCCACTGGAAGCGAATGTAAACATAGAACAGATTACTCAAACGTACCAAGTTAGTTGCAATTTTTTTTATGTCTAGTGCAAACTATGGGATGTTTGTACTCAAATTAATCAATATCTTACAAGAATTCCAGCAACGTAAGTTAAATTCTTTCATGTCAATTCAGTAACAATTTATAAGTAAAAAAATTTAACGTTCCTCTATTTCACTGATAAAATACGCACTTGGCAACCTCCGCCCGGCTGTGTAAACAGACTAATCTTAGCAAAATATAACTTGCATTGCTGGAATCTTTGCAAGATAGTGATTAATTATAGTAATTTAGACATATAGTTTTTACAAGAGATAAAAATATTACTCCTTTAGTGCACTACATTTGAGTACAAAATGAGTACAGTAATAGGTTGCTCAAAATTATGGCTTTTTCACTGGAAAAGGTCTGTAGTATAACTAACCCCAGTGGTCGCTGTACTCGCATCTCCTATCATCGAAGAATATCGCTCATATAGCAAATATAAGGTCCTTAACCTCGTACAGGTTGACACCCCTTTATCCGAAAACCGAAAAGCTCTGAAAACCGAAAAAAAAATTTGTGGAGCAATTTTTTATTTTTTTTTATTTTATTTATTTATTTTTTTTTTACACGGGTATTAGCCCACCCGGGCACATGTCACTGACCCACATCGAGGCCTGGGGGGTGAAAATGTAAATGTAATAATAATTATAATACAGGTAATAATGATAATACAGTAATAATAATAATTATTCATAGTAAATAAAATTTTTAATAAAAAATACACACAAATAAAATAAGAATGATAACAATAATAATAATAATAATAATAAAGAAATACAAGAATGAAAAAAAGATCAAAAGTGATAAACATGACCTAGACCTATGAATTATTATTATAATTGTTGTTATTATTATATTTTAGCCCCCAGGCCCCAATGTGAGTCAGTGACCTGTGCCCGGGTGGGCTGATCCCTGTAAAAAAAAAAAAAAAAAACTAACCATTCTGAAATCCGAAAAATTCCAAAAACCGATATGCATCTGGTCCCAAGGATTTCGGATAAGGGATTGTCAACCTGTATCACCAAATTCTCCTATAAAGAATGCTCGTATAACAAGATCCCTCTGTATATATATATATGTATGTAGCAAGAACAGAGCAGCGGGCTCCCATAGCAAGGATATTGCACACACTTGTAATTTTCTCTCCTTTATTTACTCAAGAAATCATCCGAGGAAGGAAAGACTAGGACCTAGATCAGACATAACTAGTAATTACTGTATACATTGTACATACAAAACAAGCATTAACTGTTGTCATAATCACATATTGGCACAACACATCAGTAGGAACTAAATAGTACATAACAAAAAGCCCAACCCACCAGCATAACAAGGGGTGGACGCTCGGTGCCGACTCATTCAGGGGTGGTGAGAGATGAATGTCTGTAGAGCAATGCCTTTATTAGCCTCATTCTGGCTTACAAACTTCCTCCATGCATTCATCACATTCTTCATATAACACTCATTTTGCTCAACCTATCAAACACCCTAATAGAGCTAAAATTACTTGGTACAGACCTGTTGCTGGGCCCCGCTAACGTGCCTTCTCATAATGTAAACAAACCATGGCGTCCTTTCCCCTGGCTGGGCTGCGTTTGCTGGTCGCAAACCCCATTTTGAATCTACAAAATATACTCTTTTTTTTCTTTTTTTTTTTTTTCTTTCCTTCTCGGGACTTACAGAAATACATATCCATATTAAAAAATACTCTAAATCACCAATAGTTGTCTCTGGAGTTCCTCATACTACATCTGTATGCGCGCTTTGGGAAACTGGCTCTTTATTACTTATTTTTATTCATAGGGACAACAGTTAAGGTGGGAGAGATCCATCATTAATGTTTTAGCTTTGCTTGATTTTGGAGTGTAGCCCATTTGCAGAAGAGGAGAGTTCCTTGGAACCTCTAGGGTCAACCTGTAAGTAAGTAAATTGCTGAATATTAAATAGGATTTTGGGCTCCATTCCTCATGTCAATGTTTATTGCCTTGTCAAACCAAATTCACTAATTCCTAGCTTCTATTACCAAACATTGTTTGAACCTTTTGGAATTAGAAGGACAGTACAGGTCTGGCTGAAAGTATTGATAGATCTTAATTTATTGATTTATTTAATTACAGATGGAAAGAAAATATTGATATTTGTAGAGACAAGGGTTCAGACTGATTTTACTGGAGCCTACTTAAATAAACAAGGCATCACTGCAACAACAATTCATGGTGATCGATTTCAAAACCAACGTGAAGAAGCCTTGGCAGCTTTCAAGACAGGGCAGATCAATGTTCTTGTTGCAACATCAGTAGCTGCTCGTGGTTTGGGTAAGTCAAGATTGTGTCTGTACTGATAAATTTTTTCATGTGATGTCATTGAGGGCCATGGTGAGCAAGTTTTCACAAAAGTGTGCTCAACATGTCCCTTGTACATTCCTGTCTTTGCCTACTTTGGCATTGATCTATCTATATATATTTCTCAGTGAGTCTGGCACATACTTATAATTTTTATAGACATTTGAAATGGTTTTAGCGCAGTGGTTCTCAACCTTTTTTTGCTGCAACCCTAAATTTGCCACCTACAGGACCTCACAACTCTCTGGCATATGATGAATATTTAAATTTTTTTATACAGTAAAGCTTCGAATAACAATGGTAACGTGTCCTCCAATATTGCAGTGTAAGGTGAATCATTGTATCGTGAATCATTAATTACCATTAAAATAAAGTAATAATAATGAGATGCATTCCAAAGTCTGACCTTTTCATATCTTTTGTGTGGTCTTTACCCTCTTTTCCCCCAAAACAATGAAAAAAGGAAAAATGCAAACTATTCTTTAAATAATGTTTATGAATGCACTTTATACAATATAAATAAATAATAATGTGGTCACACAAAAGGAGATGGGATGCCATTGTTGTTGTCAGTGTTTACACCCATAATGTAAGTTATCCATTTGAAACTGAAGAAAATAAGACCCTGGTGGTTGTTGTAGTAAAATTAATGTAAAAAAAAGTCTTTTTGTTCAATCCAGAATGCGACGTCTAGCATTGATTACCCAAGCAGGAGGTGGAGAGGGAGGTGACATTGCGTATAAGGCTCCGCTAGCTTAGGTTCAGATTATAATTATAAACTTTTTGGAATATTTTCCAATATTAGGAACATTTACCGGAAGGTATAATTTTAATTTACATATCCCAATTAGGATACTCACTTTATTCTGATGAGGAAGAAATAGGTCCTGGTTGTGGAGATTAACTTGGTGGGGGAGGGGACCTCAGCACCACCACATGTGAAGCATCTTACAGAGATAGATGAAGATAGCTGTTTTGAAAGGTTTTTGAAGATTTCCAAAAGCCCACTTCTTTGATCTGACCGAGGCTCATATGACTTGGAGACAATTTCTTGCCATCTTGTGATGAGAATACACAGGGGCCTCGATTAGGGAATCTGGTTAACCATTCTTGAAGAATCTTAACTGGGCACAATATATGAGGAACCCTTGCCTCACCCATTAGCAGTTTTATCCTGATAGGTTGAGCCTGAAAATCCTCTCGTCATTTTTTCTTAGAATCTCGGTAGGAAAAAGAGTGACCTCTTCTTCATGAAATGCCAATAATGATGGATTATTGGAAATTGAAATTAGCTCACTGATTCTCATACCTGTTGCTATTGAAGCAAGGCTGTCATCTGGAGCAATCTATCCCAGTTCAGATTTATAGCTGCGGTAGAACCTGTTCTGATCCTGCATTACTCTCCGCCACCTCCAGTGGCCCTTCTAATGCCTCAGCATAACTCCTCTTAGCAACCACCTCCATTCTATCGGCTACTTCCTCAGTCTTAGCAAGGATCTCTTTCCCAACTTGTTCTAGTTTGGCAACCAGCAAGGCTCCAGCTTCATCTATTTTCGTCCGTAGGGAACTCGTTCCCCTATGGCTTGCAATTGCCTCATTCACCTTGACTATGCAGTCAGGGCATACCAGCAACAGCCTTCATGCTTTACGGCTGCTTGCATGTTCCTAAACGTTGCAATGGTCAGGCCTGTATTATCCATATCCGTCATCCCCCCACAGTAATCACATATCATATCCCTCATGGTGGTTGTTTTTACTTTTACTTACTTTTATCCTCTTCACCACTGATCGGCTTGTTAGCTGCTAGGGCGGTCGGTCACGTCTCTGATTACTTTTCCCTTTTTTTTATCCTCTTCACCAAAAGATTGGCTCTTTAGCCGCTTGGACCATCGGTCACGTCTCAGTTATGCACTGTTGGCAAGTACTGGGCATGCATCGGCTCCTGAATGTACCTGACCCGCTCCAGTGTTGGTCAAGTCTTGTCTTGAAAGAGCTCACACTCGGTGCCGTCACAACACTTTTTGGTAGATTGTTCCAAGAGTTCACAACTCTCGCTCCGAAAAAGTTTGCCCTCGCAGTTTTCTGGACCTGCGGTTTTTCAATCTTGAGCTGTGACCAGGCGCTCCAATCTTTCAGGGTAGCTGAGGTGCCGAAGTGCAGGCACTAGTCTGGTGGCCCTCTTTTGAACATTTTCAACCAACTGACAGTCCCTAGCATATCTCGGGGACCAGACGTGGTGACAGTACTCCAAATGGGGAAGCACTTCACTCTTGAAGATCGATACGAGGGACGGACTGTCTAGATATCTCAACGACCTTCTTATAAGACCCAATAATTTATTTGCCTGATTTACCTTCTCGAAATGGCCCGAGAACTTCAGCTCATTGTCAACATACACACCTAGGCCCTTCTCACATTCAGTTTCAAATAGTGCAGTTTCTTCATCCCATTGGGACATATGATACGCCTCCTTACCGTTGGTATGCCTCAGGTGCATCCTCTTACACTTCGTGACATTGAATCTCAGCAGCCATTTCTTTGTTCATTCTTGGAGCCCACAGAGGTCCTTCTGCAGCTCGTCACAGTCCGCTTGGTTCTTGATTTCCCAAAATAACTTGGCGTCATCGGCAAACATTTGTATGGAGGAGTATACAGTGGGGTATGCTATAACGAACGGATCCTACTACAAATATTCCTATAACGAACGGTTTTACCTATAAAATTGAGAATGCTATAACGAATGAAACTCCTACAACGAACATTATTAAAAAAAAAATTTTTTTTTTTTTTTTTACTAAATTATTGTTTTTTTATTACAAATATTAATGATATTCTTTATTTCAGGGGGTTAGATGCATATTTATGCACTTTTTTACAATTTTTACAATTTTATATTATATTTTTCAGTGTTAAGTGGTTGTATTTGGGGGCCTGGAACGGATTAATCCTATAACGAACGAATGCTATAACGAACAAGGTTCTAGAACCAATTAGATTCGTTATAGCATACTCCACTGTACAACGTCAGGCATGTCATTTATGAAACAAACAAACAACAGCAGGCCCAATACACTGCCCTGTGGTACCCTGCTTGTGGCAGGTATGGATGACGATTTCGTGCCATTAATCACCACACACTGCTTGCGGTCATGTAGAAAGTCTTCTATCCACGCTAGGACATTTCCTCGAATTCCGTACCCTTCCAGTTTGATTTTCAGCCTTTCGTGGGGTTCACTATCGAAAGCCTTAGCAAAATTTAGGTAAATATTGTCGATATTACCACCCCGTTCCAGAATATGGCAGCGCTGTATTCCATGTAGCGTGTGTGAGAGTGAGGCGGAGCGGACAACTACGTCATCAACATGGCGGTAAACAAATGCTATCATTGATGCGCTTGGACGCTTACTGCAAAATCTCCGTTATTCAAGAGAATCCAGACGTTATTATTGAAAATGGGTAGTGGGGTATGCTATAACGAATGTAATTGGTTCCAGAACCTCATTCGTTATAGCATTCGTTCGTTATAGGATTAATCCGTTCCAGGCCCCCAAATACAACCACTTAACACTGAAAAAATTCTGTGGAATATGTAAAAAATACGGTAATTTATCTTACCTTAGTGTTGTTCAGGAGGCAGAGGAGGAGGGGGGAGGAGAGAATTATGGAGAAGAGGTGGAAGGAGAGGAGTCATCCTTCCTAGCCCTCTTTGGTGACTGTCTCACAGGCACTTTGTCTGTAGGGTCTTTTGTTACCTTTGTAAAGAAGGAATCCAGGGTTGGCTGCTTCAACCTTGATTTCTGGATCTTCCAAAAGTTGTTCATAACATTGTCATTAAACACACTGATGGCCTTTTGCACAGAACCAACATCAGGATGATAATCCTCAGCAAGCTTGGACAGTTTGCTCCAGCAAAAGAACGCATCCTTGAGATCTTTGGCTGGAATGATGTGGCTTTCCTCCTTGTCCTCCTCCTCCCCTGACTCCTCAGAAGTTAAGCTCCACTTCAGTGTCTCATTTTCCTCTTTGTGAAGCTCAAGCAGCTCCTCAGTGGACAATTCCTTACTGTGCTCTTCCACCAACTCCTCAACATCATCATCATCCACTTCCAGGCCCATGGAATTGCCCTGAGACACAATTTCATGAACAACAGCCTCTTCTTCGAAGCCTTCAAAGTTTCATTGAAGGACACATTCAGGCCACAATGGCCTCCAAGCAGCACAAAGACACCTCACAGTAACCTCTTTCCAGGCTGAGGTAATTAATAAAACAGCTTCTGCTATATTGAAGTGACTCTTCCAAAATTCCTTCAAGCTAACATCACTGGAAGAAGTGGACGCAAAACATTTTCTAAACAGTGCCTTTGTGTACAGCTTCTTAAAGTTAGAAATTACCTGTTGATCCATGGGCTGGATGAGAGGTGTTGTGTTGGGTGGCAAGAAGTGCACAGTGATGAAGTTGAACTCCTCTGGCAATTCAACCATCAAATTAGGAGGGTGGGCTGGTGCATTGTCCATCACCAACAAAGCTATCAGTGGAAGATTATTCTCCCTGAGGTATTCCCGAACACTGGGTCCAAACACCTCAATCACCCACTCAGAGAATAAATTCCTGGTCACCCAAGCCTTTGGGTTTGACCGCCACATAACACCAAGGCGGTTCTTCCTAATTTTTTTGAAAGCTCTGGGGTTTTCTGCGTGGTACGCAAGGAGTGGCTTTATTTTGCACAAAGAAGGAGGGTAAGCCTGTCTGTCATTGGCTTATGGCCAGAGACAGAAGTTTCCTCCTTGGTAATGTATGTATGGCGAGGCATTTTTTTTCCAAAAAAGTCCAGTTTCATCACAGTTGAATACTTGCTGAGAAACAAAGCCTCCCTCTTTAATAATATTCAAAAAAATGTCATGGTGTTCCTTAGCTGCTTCCTTATCTGCACTAGCAGCATCACCATGTCTCACAACACTATGTATTTTATTTCTCCTTCTGAAACCAGTAAACCACCCCTTGGTACCCCTAAACACTGGCACATCACTATCACTTGCACTGGGAGTCTTGGCTTTAAGGTCCTCAAACAATTGTCTGGCCTTCTCACAAATTATAGCTTCACTAATGCTATCACCTGCCATTTCTTTCTCCTTTATCCACACTAAGAGTAAATTTTCCATCTCTTCAATCACATTACACCTTGCTTTGCTAAGTCTAGAGATTCCCTTAGCCACTTGCACTGTTTTCAACTCCTCTTTATTCTTTAAAATCGTACATATAGTCGATTTAGCCATCCCATACTCATCACTAAGTTTCGCAATGCTTGTTCCATCCTCACGTTTCTTTATGATTTCTTTCTTAGTTTCAAGAGTTATGAGCTTTCTCACTCGCTTTGGATGATTCATTGTCACAATTGTACACTTGTATAACAAAATATTTATACAAATAACTCCATTTCCACATCAAAAGACGAAATTTCAACAATAACAGTGGTGCACTGGCTACACAATGAGACAAAGATGGCGCCTGACGCTCTTGTTGTGGGTCGCGGTACAACAATATTCATGCGCCAGGCGAAATAGTCCCGTATTCATCCGCGTTCGTTGTAGGAGTTGCGTTCGTTATAGCATTCTCAATTTTATAGGTAAAACCGTTCGTTATAGGTTAGTAGTTCATACCCCACTGTATATATATATATATATATATATATATATATATATATATATATATATATATATATATATATATATATATATATATATATATATATATATATATATATATATATATATATATGTATATATATATGTATATATATATATATATATATATATATATATATATATATATATATATATATATATATATATATATATATATATATATATACATACAGCTAGACCCGACTACTACGTGACTTACGTCCATTGGTACTTACGACCTGCTTTGACCGTACGTCCATACGGGACATACGACTGCGACCGCCGTGACCAAAAATTTTTTCAAATGACGCGCGCATTTTCTATACCGAAACGTTTCCGTCCCGGGCGAGAGGGAGGGGTGTCTTGGGTCGCCTCGTGGCTGCACTCACTCAGTGGAGCGCTTTGTTTGTGTTTGGCTATCGTATCCTATACTGATCGCGCTGTGAACTTTCGTTATTATTGTATTTAATTGACTTTATAATGACTGGAAAGCGTAAAAGTGAGAGTGCTGGTGGTACTCCAAGGAAAAGGAGACAGGCAATTACTTTTGAGATGAAACTGAAGATAATAACACAGTATGAGAATGGAAAAACAGTAGCAACAATCTCACGCGACCTAGGTTTCTCACACTCGACTATATCCACTATTCTGAAGGACAAGGAACGTATTCGTGAAGTAGTGAAAGGAACAACACCTATAAAGGGAACTATAATATCAAAGAAAAGACAAGGTCCTATCCACGATATGGAAAAATTATTGGTGATATGGATAGAAGACCAGATACAGAAGCGTGTACCCTTAAGTGTTCTAACCATACAGGCTAAAGCAAGAAGCCTGTTCCAAAGCCTGAAGGAGCAGGCAGGAGATGAATGTGATCAAACCTTTACAGGAAGTCATGGGTGGTTTGATAGATTTAAAAAACGCTACAGTCTACACAATGTTAAGGTGAGTGGAGAGGCAGCTAGTGCCGATGTTGGTGCTGCCGAAGCTTTTAAGGAGGAGTTAGATGATGTGATTGTGGAAGGGAATTATTTGCCTGAGCAAATATTCAATGTGGATGAGACTGGATTATTGTGGAAACGCATGCCTGAGTGGACATACATCCACAAAGAGGCAAAAAAAAATGCCCGGATTCAAGGCATTCAAGGACAGAATTACACTTCTGTTGGGGGGGAATGTTGCTGGTTTCAAGCTAAAACCCTTCATGATCTATCATTCAGAGAACCCCAGGGCTTATAAACATATCAGCAAGCACACACTGCCAGTGTTTTATCGCAGTAACAAGAAAGCCTGGATGACCCTAGTACTGTTTGAGGATTGGTTCATGACTTGTTTCATTCCACGAGCCAAGGAATATTGTCTGCAACAAAGGATTCCATTCAAGATTTTACTGATTTTGGATAATGCTCCGGGACACCCACCACACCTGGACGACATGCACCCTGATGTTAAGGTAGTGTACATTCCACCTAACACTACCTCTATCATCCAACCCATGGATCAAGGTGCTATTGCTGCCTTTAAAGCGTATTATTTACGCACGACCTTCGCTCAGGCTGTTGCTGCTACTGAAGGTGAGAAAACGCTCAGACAGTTTTGGAAGGAGTACAACATTTTGTCATGTATAAAGAACATTAGTACAGCATGGGATCAGGTTACAAAACATTGCATGAATGGAATATGGAAGAAAATCCTGAAAAGATATGTGCACAGTTTCAAAGGATTTAATGAAAATGAAGTTATTTTGGATATTAGTAACAGGATAGTGGAGTTAGGTAAACAGCTGGAGTTAGAAATTGATACTGAAGATGTTGGACAGTTGGTTGAAAGTGTAGCAGAAGAGCTCAGTAACGAGGATCTTATTGAACTAGATGCACAGAAAGTTGCAGAGGAAGAAGAGAGACAAAATGTAGAAGAAGAGCCTGCACCCCCCCAAAAAGTTTTCGGTGAAACATATGGCAGAGGCATTTGCTACAATTAATAAAGGAATGCAAATGTTTGATGGCATGGATCAAAATTATGAGCGTTATGCCAAAGTTGACAGAATGATCCAAGATGCACTTGCTTGCTACAGAGAAATTTATAATGAAAAGGAAAAGCAAACTGTGCAGTCTAAATTGGACATCTATTTCAAGAAGTCCCCCAGTACTGGCTCCTCACGCCCCACCAGTGCTGCCTCTTCACTCCCTCAAGATGATCCAATACCTTCAACCAGCAAGTTACCACAGTACATAAACCTGTCTGAAGGAAGCGACATTGATGACCCACCCAGCCCTGTCTCCTCTTCTGCTTCTTCCAATTAATATAGTCTCCATGTATCCTGTAAATAGAAAATTATGGGGGCCCTGTGTGCATTCAGCTGACTACATTTAAGGTAAGTGCTCAGTCACACTGTATCCATTCCTCATTATTTATTACTTTTACTGTACTGTATCCATTCCTCATTATTTTTTACGTTTAGTGTACTGTATTTCATTGTAGATTTTTAAAAAAAATTTGAAAAAAAAAAATTTTTGAATTTTTTTTTTTTTGAAAATTTTATTTTTTTTTTTTTTTTTATCTATATCGGACTTACGACCATATCGGACTTACGACCTGGATTTGGGTCCCTAACCCCGTCGTAAGTCGGGGTCTAGGTGTGTGTATATATATATATATATATATATATATATATATATATATATATATATATATATATATATATATATACATACATACATATATCGGGATTTAGCTATTATTTATTAAAAAAAAATTAATTTCGTTGTAAATACGAACAAAATAATGGCGTAAATTGAATTGGGGTCCAAAATTAACCAGGGTCTTAGATATGAATCTTTGTTAGTAGAACCGTCGTTATCGGAGGCTTTTCTGTAGTTTCTTTTGATACAAAATTTTTAAAAAGTTAAGTACTGTAAATGTAAAGGAAGTCGACTAAAACTGAAGCATGTAAGTTGCATGAAAGTTCAAATATTTTGAAGAAATTACTCTGAAGTTGACTACCTAATTATATTTCTCTCTCTCTCCCCCAAAAAAGGCCAGTAGATATTTTCTGCTTTAGGGTCAAAATCACTGACAGCCATTATAGGGGTACAACAATAACCAGCTGTTCTAGTGTTAAGTATATCTCTCAGGGATTACGTCCCAAATTCCCATTAGGCCCCAGTCCCTGCTAATTACTGGAGAAATCTTGATATTATATATCCCCATTTGGCGAGGTATTGTTGCATATTGAAATGTATTAAAGTTATTTAAAGATTCTTCACGCCCTTTACAGTTTTATATTTTTGTTCATTATCTTTGCAGACATTGTTGGAGTTGAGTTTGTGATAAACTATGATTTGCCAAAATCTGTGGAAGAGTATGTTCATCGTATTGGCCGAACTGGTAGAGTAGGCAATCCTGGACATGCTCTGAGCTTCTTTGATGAAAAACGTGACTTACATCTTGCAAAAGATCTGATGAAAATCTTCAGTGAAGTAAGTACTGTACTGCATATTTAATATTTTGTTTAGAGACCCCTCTCTCTTATCATTTCTGGTTGATTCTGTCCAGAGAGCTTTCCAGTAGATGAAAGAATAAGGATTGTTCACAGAAAATTAATGCCATCTTTCCCAGAACTGTGAGTAGATGTAGTGTAAACATTAATGACTCACCCCCATCCCTTTGTCTGGGAATTTTTTCAGAAAATGTGCTTAATTTTCACCCTCAGAAGCTCATCATAGACCTGGAAAAGAGATAATTTTTCCCGGAAAAATTCAGATCCAATTTAAATCCCGGGTAATGAAGAGGTTTGGCTAATGGAGATAAAGGTTCAGTAGAATGTCAATTTAAAGCGATTCAATGTAAGATTATTGACTTAAAGCGACACCCACAATTAAAGACAATGTTATAATTTAAAGCGAATCTTTCCTATTTTGCTCGAGTCAATCTCGCGCATCATATCAATCTGGTGCATCATATTTAAAATTTTGTGCCTAATGTTTCTCTGGGCACGCTACACTGTCCAAATGGCAAAGCTGTACTGTACATGTACTCAAAATCATGTACAGTACAGTGAACCCTCAATTTACGCGGTTAATTCAACCCACAGGGTACCGCGGAAGTGAGAAACGCTTAAAGTGAACAACATAACATATGGGATTAATTGAAATAGAGATCGGGCCGACCCCCAAACTCCACTTTTTCAAACACAATACCTACGTTGTAGTAAAAATAACTTCTTAATATTATGATGGTATGCACACAATTAATAATTAAGAGAAATATCAATAATATTAGGTTTTTTAACACTTAATTAGTAGAAAAGATGGCTGGGCACACTGGGATGGGGGGTTGGTTTCGAGGCAGAGGACAGATTATTGGCCCTCACCTGTATCACTTGTATCAATTGTATCACTATCCACCACAGAGGCTTGCAGGGCCTCTTTGTCAAACCCCTCAAAGTCCATATAAATCCATATCCTCACTATAATTATCACTATCACTGACTTGGGCCGGCTGTGGTGGGTGGCGGGTGAAGAACTCGGTAATGTTTTGATGACTGGGCGACCTTGTGCGCACCCTGCTCACGCTGCTTACACAACATGGCGGAGGGCGGGAGAGATTGCGGGAGGTTTGGATCCAAAAATGGTGCGGCTCGCCAGCCGCTCTCCGCGTAAAGGGGTACACGCACCGTGGAATGTGAGCATTCCGGTTTCGGCAGGGGACCGCGTAAATGTGGAAACACGGAATGTGGAACCGCGTAAAGCGAGGGTTGACTTTATACTAAATGATTACTAAAATTTTTGTCTAGTGGAAACTATAGCACTTATATATTCAAATTAATCACTATCTTATAAGAATTCCAGCAATGTAAATTATTTTCTTCAGGTCACTTCTGTGACATTTTATAAACAAAAAACAAAAACTCAATCTAAAGGACATAAACAAACAAATAAATACTTCACTAGACCTTAGGCGCCAACTGTCAAAACATGTCACTTCCCTCCCTCCTCCTCCCTCCCTCCCTCCCTCCTCCCTCCCTCCCCCCCCCTTCCCCCTTCCCCTCCCCCCCCCCATCTTCCCAGCCAGGGTTTCACGTTTTAGGCTTAAAGTTTTTATCTTATATAATGTCACAGACTAAAGTTATGAGAATATAATTTTTATTGCTGGAATCTTTGCAAGACAGCGTATAATTTAAATATAAATGTCATATATTTTGTACAAGAGATAAAAATATTTGCTCTTTGTAATAAAATTCTTAAATTAGAACTAAAATTTGTATGTAATGCGAGCTATAGCATGTTTATATTCAAATTAATCACTATCTTATAAGAATTCCAGCAATGTAAATTATATTCTCCCATGTCAGTTCAGTGACATTTCACAAGAGAAAAATTTAGTCACTTTTAAGGACAGATAAATAAATAAGCACTAGACCTTGGCATCAACTGTCAAACAAATCACCTCACCTCCCTCCCTCCATCTTCCCAGCCAATAAACAGACCATTTCGCATCCCTCAATTTTAGCTGTGTTGATTTATGAGTTTTTTTTTATCATAATACGAAAAAAAACAATGTTTTGTGTATTCTATGAGATGGGCTGAGGTGCTCTGGGTAGACTTTGTCTTTTTAGTAATTTGTGTTTCTCTCGTGTACCAAACTAAATTACACCATTGAAACAACATTTTGATTTAGTGCGAATTCGGTGTAAAGCGACCTCTCTTGGAACGTATCTCGCATTATATGGACATTCTACTGTATACCCGAATAACCGATAGTTATGCAGTTTGTGAAAAGTAGACGGTTATTGAAGCAATTAATCCCATAAGAATATAACAAATTTGAGAGGTTAGGGGCCGGCCACGCCCTAAAAACTCCCATATATCCTCGATATATTTGTCATGCACACTGACAATCAACAAAATAAAGCAGACATGTGAAGCAAGCATAATAGCATTAAATAAGGAACGTAAAGCATAAATTGAGACTTATTTACCTATATTGAGGATAGTGGAGACAGTCTAGGTTGGCAAGTTCAATTTTCTATCAATCTTTGCTGGTCCATTACCACTCTTATTACTTATATTCTCTGAGGCGCTGATCGACTCATTGGGCGGTTGGTCATGTCTCTGTTATGCACTGTGGGCAAGTAATGGGCATGAACTGGCTCCTGAATGTATCTGAAACTGCTTCAGTGTTGGTCAAGTCTGGTTTTGAAAGAGCTCACACTTGATGCCATCACAATATACTCTTGCAGATTACAGTATTCCAAGAGCTCACAATTCTCACTCCAAAAATGTTTGCCCTTGGTTTTTTCTGGACTTCAACCTTGAGCTGCAACCCATTGTGGGGTGGGCATCTGCCACCTCCAGGTATGGACACTCAACTGAATAGTGCCCTCTGAGATGTTTATTCACTTCAGTTAGGTCATCCCTTGCCTGCCTCTACTATAAGTTAGGCAATTGTAGGCACTAATCTCTCTGGGTAACTGAGGTGCTGTAGTCCAGACACCAGTCAGGTGACCCTTTGGACATTTTCAATCAACTGACAATCTCTAGCATATCTCAGGGACCAAACAGGATGACAGTACTCCGTACGGAGAAGCACCTCACTGGTGAAGATCATTATGAGGGACGGATGTTCTGGATATTTGAATGACCTTATAAGACCTACTAGTTTCGTTGCTTGATTCACTTTCTTCTTACAATGGCCCGAGAACTTAAGTTCATTGTCAACGTACACACCCAGGCTCTCTTCACATTTGGTCTCTTTTTTAATGCAGATTCTTCATCCTGTTGGGATATGTTGTATGCCTCCTTCCTGTTGATACGACCTAGGTGCACCCTCTTACACTTCCTTCATGACATTGAATCTTAGCAGCCATTTCTTCAACCATTCTTGAAGCTCACAGATCTTTCTGTACCTCTTCACAGTCTGTTTGGTTTTTAATTTCCCTGAATAACTTGGCATCATCCACAAGCATTTGTATGGAGTAGTGTATATCTTCTGGCATGAAACAAACAAAGAACAAAAGGCCCTATACACTGCCCTGTGGTACCACGCATGTTACAGGTACACATTACAATTTTGTGCCATTAATCACCACACACTGCATGCGATCATGAAGAAAGTCTCCAATCCACACAAGACATTTCTCGAATCCTGTACCCTTCCAGTTTAATCCTCATCCTTTCATGGGGGTATGCTGTTGAAAGCCTTGGCAAATTCTAGGTTTGTATACCTGATATTACTGCCTTGTTCCAGAATTGAGTCCAAACATCTAGGACCTTGTTTAATTGTGTTAAGCAGGAGCATCTCGGCATAAAACCGTGTTGGCAGTTCTTTACAGGGTTGTTTCGTTGTAGATGTTCCATCATGGCATCTCTTATGATGCTCTCTAGTTCTTTACACACTGCGCTGATTGGCTCACTGGTCAATAATTATTCGTGGATTGACAATTGCTCTTCTTGAATAAAGGGCTCACATCAGCCATTTTCCGGTAACTGGGGACCTTTTGCTCATCCAGGCATTTACAGAACAGGATCTTAAGGTGCTCCTCAAGCTCGTTGCACAACACTTAACACTGGGCTGCACCATGTCATGGCCGGAACTCTTATGAACCTTTATATTTGACAATCTATTACTTATACTCATCTTAGAACACAATGTGGGTCAGTGCTGTGTCAAACTGTCTTACCTCAAACACAGGAAGATTGTTTACATCCTGCATCTTCTCTTGTGAACACTGAGGAAAAGAATGTTCAATGCCTCTGCCTTGTCCTGGTCGGAATCTGTGTAACTACCATCTTCAAGCCTCGGATCCAATATGCCTACTCACATTCTTAATTTCAACTTTGCGTAACAGTAAAGCGTCTTTGAGTTTGACTTGACTTCGCTTGCAATCAGCCTCTGGAACCTTTTCATCCCTTCTACACTCTTGATTTTTCTTGTTTCCAGCATCTGGCATACATCCTCCTAGTTTGCTCATCATTTGTCCTAACCCCTGTCTTGAAATTCTGAGTTTTTACTTAACTTTGTCAACTGCTGCATGATTCATGTGTAACAGTCTCCTTGTATTACTGGTGCCTTATCACATCACATCAAATAAGAGGAACTATCACTATATAGTCATGATTGCGTAATACAGTGGAACATCGATATAACGCGAGGTACATTCCAAGAGAGGTCACTTTAAACCAAATTCCCACTAAATCGAAGTGTTGTTTCAATGGAATAATTTAGTTTAGTACTTGAGAGAAACACAAAACACTAAAAAGACTGAGAGTCTACCCAGATGCACTGCAGCCCATCTCCTAGAATAAACAAAACATTATTTTTTGTAGTATTATGTTAAAACAAACACTCATAAATCAACACAGCTAAAATTATGGGACGTGAAATGGTCTGTTTACTAGCGAACAGCTGATGGGAAGATGGGGGGGGGGGGATATGATATGTTTGACAGTTGATGCCAAGGTCTAGTACTTATTTATTT